CCAGGGGGTGATGGAACAGTGCCTTCGGATGCCACGAGAGACAGGGTCTCTGACTGACAGCCAACATCCAGGCATTCCAGTGTGTGTGTGTGTGTGTGTGTTTTCAAAGATACATTTTCAAGTTTGCAACGTCGCATAAGCTCTCCTCCCACGAGTCCTTGCTGAGAAAGCTAAAGGAGGATGCCTGCCATCAGATGAAGGAGAAAAACCAAGAAAGGAGAAGGAGATCCAGGTCTGACTCCAGGGAGGGGAGAAGGGGGTCTGCCTCCCTGCAGGCTCAGGCCTGGAGACTGAAGCAGGCGAGCAGGCTGCAGGATGGACTGGAGCCGCTGGATTCTGGATCCACAGTGAGGAAGAGACAGGAGGCTCCCCTAAGGGGAAGGTGCATGCATATGGATCCTAGCTCCGGGGCCCTGAACATCTGACCTGAGCAGCAACAGGACTGAATCATCCAGGAGTCATCCAGGTTAGACGGCGGGCTGCCTGGACAGCTGCCCCACCAACCTCTCTGACCGGGGCCTCTGAATATGACTTCTCGGAACGCCGTCTGGGAAGGTCATACTGGAAGGGGTGGGGCTAAATCCAGGGGACTGATGTCCGTGGGTAATCTGCACACGATCTCTTGAAGGTGTTGAAAACCAAGGAGGTGACTTTGAAGACTAAAGTCCCCCAGAGCCAAGCCAGGGTGTTGTCAGTGTCCTCGCGTGCACACAGCAGGGGGACGGAGTACGGATCAAAGAAGATCCAGCATCGGAAAGATTCTGCTGCAGGAGAACAGCGAACCTCTCAGGGCCTGCCAAAGAAGAAATGATCTGTCCTGGAAGAAGTCCAGTCAGAGTGCTCCGGAGAGGCAAGGGCTGGGAAGATGTGGTCTCACGCCCTATGGATGTGCTGTCAGGAGAGACCAGTCCCTGGAGAAGGACGTCATGCTCGGTAAAGCAGAGGGGCAGTGGGTAAGAGAAGGCCGTGGACAAGACGGATGAACGCAGTGAGTGCAACAGTCAGGCGTGGGGCCGGGCGGTGTTTCATTCTGTGGTACACCGGGTGGCCCTGAGGGGACAAAGATGGCTACTGGAGTGGCCGAGGATTGCTGGCCACCACCAGAAGCTGGATGAGACAGTAAGGACCCTCCCTGGAGTCTCTGAAGAGAACACGGGGCTGCCACCACCTTGACTCGACTCCGGAACGGTGTGAAGACACATTTCTGTAGTTGTGAGTCCCCATGTGTGGGACTGAGCTACGAACCGTCCTGGGGGGTTGGACAAGAGGGAGAGATGGGCTCTGGGTGTGGCCTGCAGGGACAGCACGGGGATGGCAGAGCTCCAGCCAGGTGGCAGGCACACCAGTGACCCTCACAGAGCACAGGACAGTGTCAGACAGCCCTGGGGGAGGGGCTAATGGGTCAGGCCCAGCAGTCAGTGTTCCAAGGGTCAGCAAGGAAAGGGACAAGGAGAGAGGGGCTCTGCAGGTGGGGGTGCTGGGGGCAAAGGCCCAGGAACAGAGGGGTGCGGTGAGGGAGCAGGGGCAGTTACAGGGCTCGGGAGAGGACCTGGGGTTCCCGTGGTAATGCCAAGCCAGCCAGGCCCCTCCTGCTCTGCCCCAGCACGTCTGGAAGCCTCCAGCCCCTGCCCCAGCCTCTGCCAGCTGCGGCATGCCTCAGCAGGGGGCACAGCAGACTCTCCAACAGGAGGCCTGGCGTCTGTCCATCTCCACCTCCACACCAACACCAAACCACGCCACCGCTATGGGGTCAATTCCAGCTCATGGCGACCCTGTAGGACAGGCTAGAAGTGCCCCATGAGTTTCTGAGACTGTCCCTTTACAGGAGTGGAAAGCCCCATCTTTCTCCTAAGGAGCGGCTGGAGTTTTTGAGCTGCTGACCTTTCGGCGAGCAGCCGGCCATAGACCCACAAACTCCAAGTTCTCTGCCTGGTCCATGACACGTGGGTTCGGGGCTAGGAATGATTCCCCTTAAAACAGCCTTGGGCAGGTGAGAGGCAGGGAGCCACGCCAGAGGGAAGGCCTCAGGCGGGTAAATGAAGAAGCTGCCGGGCTGGGCAGCGCTAGCAGAAGCAGCAGATTCCTGTAATCCCTCACTGTTATCCACCTCCACAGGGCCCCTCTTCCCCTGCGGTTCATCGCCTTCCTCCGGGGCCTCTCCCCAGGGATAGTGGGCTGGCCAGAAGACCAGGCTGAGGCTTGTACAGGGCTGTCAGAGCCTGGGATACCATCTCTCCTCAACCATGGACACACTGCTCCTTTGATCACCGGCAGAAGGTTCTGGAACATGCAACACGCAGCTGCACGCTGACCGGGGAAACCCCGGCTGCCCGATCCTCTGACCACTTCAGGCACCGCCGGTACGTGTGTTTCCTTGGCTTCCCTGACCAGGGAGCTGGTCCCCAGGCCCCAGGCCCAGAGAGGGCATCCTCATCATCCCCTAGCCGATCTGGGGGTCCTGCCACTCTGAGCCCGCCAAACACGACACCTTGGGGGCGCGACTCTCTGGCGTTCTGGAGTGCGGAGAACCTGGGGACCTGTCAGAGGGCGGGGCGGGATGCTCTGTGAGCAGCTACCTGCCCGGGAGCAGTGGGCAGGCAAGAGGATCCAAGGTAGACCTTCTTCTGTTTTGTTTCTGTTCCTAGCGGGAGCCCAGATGTGTCTGCGCACAGCACGGCTGACCCTCGACTCCTCTTCAGGTTGGGAGGGTTAGGCCTGTCACAAGAACCCTTGGCTCCTCAACCATGGACACACTGCTCCTTTGATCACCGGCAGAAGGTTCTGGAACATGCAACACGAGCCAAGGTTGCCAGCCGAGGGACACAGTGGGTCCCACCCAAAGTTGGTGAAGCCATTGGAGGACAGGGAGGCCAAAGCAGAGGGCAGGGCACTGCATCTGTCCTGTTCCCGGAGTACTCTCGGGCCTGATGTCAGGTAGGACACCCCTAGGCGTGATCCATCATGCTAATGCACACCTGGGGGTGCTTGCTACGTGGGGGAGGCTCTGAGGGGGCACTGACGGATGCCCAGCAGCTCCCACAGCTCCGAGTCCTCTGGGACGTGGGAGCTGTCTTCTCGCCCATGTGCTCTGGGAGAAGATTCTGGTCCTTTGCTGCCACGTAGCAAGAGAGTGGTCTACCAGAGGGAGGCTCACCCTGGTGAGGGAGGAGGGATGGAACAGATTTCATCTTTTCAGCAAACAATTGTTTGGCAAACATTCTAGGACCCGTGTCCTGGAAATGTACAACAGAATGTTCCAAAATTTTGTGGACAGGAGTCCCCATGTGGATCCCTTAAGACCTCGCTGAGAAGTCTCACCCAAATATCCAGATTCATCACTTACACGTCCTGCCTCCCACCAAGCACCTGGACACAATGCAGCCACGTTTTCCTCGTCACTGTGTAAAAAGCACCACCCTCCCGCCATCGTCCAGTCACATGTTCTCAGAGCCTCAGCAGAGGCACCTTTCACATGCACACGTCCAGCACGCTGTCCCCTGGCTGCCGCCGTTTGTGTTCTCTAAGCCGGTACTTTCTCTACGGCTGTTCTCGCTTCCCTCTGAGCCCTCGGCAGAATCCCTTTGGCATTCCCAGTTCTACCAGCGGTCTTCTCCAGGCCGTCTTGGCTTTTCCTATTAGGCCCTGAAGACCCTGCCAGCCTCTCCTCAATTCCAAAGTCACTCTCGCTAAGTATTTGCTCGAGCCACGCTCCACTCCCGGTACCAAATTCTCTTGGGTTTTCGAGCGCCGTTCCAACAGAAATTCGACAAGTGGGTGGCTTCCAAAACAGAAACGGACTTTCTTACAGCTTAGAAAGCTCAAAATATGAATTCTGGGGGCTGTGGCAGGGGAAGGCTTGCTTTCTCTGCCAGCTCTAGAGGAAGACCCTGTCTCGTTGCTCTTCTTCAGCGTCCACTTCTTGGTGATCTTCTGGGGTGTGGTGTCTGTCTTCTCCTACGTCTGGTTCTCCAGCTGTCTGGTTTGCGCTCAAAAGAGACGGACTTAAAACACACTCTATACGAATCCTGGGAGACCTGATGGCTCAGTGGTTACGTGTTAGGCTGTTAACTGCAAGATCAGCAGTTCAAAACCACCAGCCGCTCCTTGGGGGAGAGATGAGACTTCCCACTCCTAGAAAGAGTTGCAGTCTCAGAAACTCATGGGGTAGGGAGGGTGTCGGGGTGGGGGAGGGCAGTTCTACTTGTCTTATAGGGTGGCTGTGGGTTGGAATCCACTCAATGGCAGTGAGTTTGATACTAATCCCACCCCATTTCCAAAGTGGATTATAGCCACAGGCCGTTGGGTTGGGAATTACAACATAGGTTTTAGGGGACACGGTTTGATGCATGATACACAGCACCACAGACAATCTGAGCTTCGGAGTGGCATCTGAATGGCCTGGAAGTCGAACGACCAGGAACGACTCCAGCCAGAAGCCCCAGCAAATGAACACACCCTCTCTGGGCCCTGGATACTGTAGAGTGTCCTCTGGGGTCTTGTCCCTCTTCCCAATTCAACACAGGGCTGGAGTGGTCACCCGCAAACCCCGATAAATGTGTATTTGCTAAGTCACTTTCTAGACTCAGAACCACTGTCCTCGAGGAGAGGCCGACTCACAGTGCCCCTACGGGGTAGGGCAGAACTGCCCCGTGCGTTTCTGAGATGGTCACTCTTTATGGGAGTAGAAGGCCTCCTCTTTCTCCAACTTTCTATACTAGCATAAAAAAAATTCAGAATGTAAGTGTCTTACGGAAGGAGCCCTGGTGTTGTAGAGGTTAAAGCGCTCGGCTTTGATCCAAACCCACCAGCTGCCCTTTGGGAGAAAGAAGAGGCGGTCTACTTCTGTAAGGACCCTCTGGGGCCCTCTGGGGGGTCCCTGTGAGTCGGGTCCAATTCAGTGGCTGTGGGCTTAAGGTCTTGAGAGAGAAGCACCCCTAGGAGACCACCGCCGGCTGCCCTGCCCCCCCCCCCAGGAAAGAAGCAGCCCCCCCCAGCCCTACCTTGTTGTAGTAGTGCACCTGCACTGAGTGCCAGCGCCCATCACTCACGCCGCCAGGCACCTGTGGCGCCACCGTGGTGGTGGTCTCACCTGGCGGAAGGAAGGTCCAGAGAGAAACAAGATCACCAGGCCCGCTGGGACCAAGGGTCAGGCCACAAGGCCATGGACACCCCAGGCAAATATAATTCAGAAACTCAGCCATGTCCCCCGCCGCTCTTGCAATACTCAGCTGCAGGCACCCACCCACCCCTCCACACCCGAGGGCTGCACCCCAACCGTGAAGGCTTCTGGGTGGGAGGTGAGGAATAGAGGGGCTCCCCTCCAGCTCAGGGCACCCCCCCATCCCACATGCACCAGGACACACGTCCCCATGCCTCCCCTTTCTGATGACACAGCCACTCCGGTGTTTCTGATATGAAAGATGTGACTGTTATGAAGGGTGGGCCACAAGTGGCGGGCTCAGCAGCTCCACCGGTCCCTCCTCTCCTCGATCCCCTCCTCCCCTCGATCAATGCCGTTTCCGAAGCCCGGAGGTATGCACTTTATGGAGAGCCTCCCCTTTATACGGAGAGCCCTGGTGGTGTAGAGGGCTGTAGGTTGGGCTGCTAACAGCAAGGTCAGCAGTTTGAAACCACGAGCTGTCCCATGGGTGCACGAGCTTTCCCCTCCAGTGAACAGTTACAGTCTTGGACGCCCACTGGGGCAGTTGTACCCTGTGCTACAGTGTTGCTGTGAGTCAGTGGACCCCCTGGGTTTGGCTGTGTCCCTCTGTGTCACACTGCCTGTGCTGACCACCATACTGCATCATCGTATCGGGAGGCCCAGGACACGCCACTGGACATCTCGAGGGGAGGAGGCTGATGTCACTGTCTGTTCCGAATTCCTGCATCAGCCAGGCCGGCATCAAACCCACTGGTGCAGAGCCGATTCTGACTCACAGGCCTGGGACTCGCTGACTCTGGAATGGTGAGTCTGGATAAGACAGACAGCCTCTTCTTTCTCTCTTAGGGCGGCTGGTGAGTTTGAACCAATGCTTGGGCTAACATCTGAGAACAGGCCCTAGCACATGCCAGGAAATCTGCTTCCAGCTCTGACTTGAGAGCCCAGATGCTCCCTTGGCCCTGGGCCCAGGGACCCATGGCTCTCAGCATGCCCACGCCAGCCACAGCGAGCAAGGGTGGTAGTGACACTACCCACAGCCCAGTGCAGAGCCAGCATCCGTGGTCCAGGAGAAGGGAGAAGGGCTCTTCTCAGTTGGTGGTGGGTCCCATCTTGGCATCACTTTGAAATGTGCATCACAATTGAGTCTGGAACATTCCTACCAAGGTTGAGGGCCAGGTGAGTCTCAGTAGTTTTACCCAAATTGGGACTCATCAAATACGTTCTCCTCCAAACCAGCAAACACACTCACTAGCATTGAGACGACACCAATTCTGGGTGGCCCGGGAGCACAGGAAAGACCTGCCCGGTGGGTGTCCGAGGCAGTAGCCCTTGACCCAGGTAGAGAGCCCCACCCTTTTCCTATGGAGTGGCTGGTGGTTTTGAACCGCTGACCTTGGGGCGCACAGCTCAACTCGTAACTACCATGCCACCAGGGCTCCTGTACACACTGCTGGAGATGCCGTAAAGATGTCTCAGCCACAGAGGCGCTGCGTTTTACACAGGGCGTCCTTGGCGCTTGGAAGTAGGAGCTGCACTTCGGCCATGTTGGCAGGACACAGGACGGACGCTGCCCTGACGCTGCCCTGGTGGTTTCCATACAAGAAACCAACCAAGCTCACAGCTATTGAGTCGATGCTGACCCTCAGTGACCCTAAAGGACAGGGCAGAACTGTCCCTGTGAGTTTCTGAGGTTGTTTAACTCTTCACAGGAAGAGACAGCCTCATCTTTCTCCCGAGGAGTGGCTGGTGGTTTCGAATTGCTGACCTCGAGATTAGCGGCCTAATGCGTAACCTACTATGCCACCAGAGCTCCGTAGCAGGGAGCTCAGAAAGCGTGGTCTTCCATTCTTTTCCTCTACGAGCTTTCTGAAGCTCCTTTGAACGCTGGATTTCTTTCTCTCTCTCTCTCTCACTCTGCCAGTGGGCAGTGCTGCCCAGCGAAGGGGCAGTTCTATGGTGTGGAGGAGTGGGTGGCTCGGTCATCCCAGGCGTGATCACAGACCCTCCCCAGCAAGGGGGCAGTTCTGCAGGGCCGGGTGGGTGGAGCAGGTGTCCCTGCAGGTGCTCCAGGGTGCTGCCCAGCGCTCTGGTGATGCTGCAGGACAGGGCGGGTGGCGTGTCTGTCCCTGTGGGCTGCCCGGCACTGGGGCTGTGCTGGGGGCAGGAGGGTGGCATGTCTGTCCTGGGTGGGGGGGGGAGTGGCTACCTGCAGAGAAGACGAGCTGCACCTGCCCCTCCACGATCTCCAGGGCGATGAAGTCGTGTTTCTCGTTGAAGCGGCCGTTGTAGAGCAGCAGCGCGTTCAGGTCTCGGGTGGCAAACCTGGGTGGGGGGCAGACACACATCACAGGGGGCTGAGGCAGACAGGGTGGCAGGGGGCCTGCAGTGCAGGCCTCTGCTCTTCTGAGACAAGCACAGGCTGGGAGGGCGAGGCTGGGCTGGCCCAAGCCTGGGTCTTGTCAGGTGTCTCCTAAGCCCGGGAGGGCTGGACGGAGAAGGAAGACCAGCCTCGGACAGAGGCGGCGCAGTCGTGAAGCTGCCCCGGCCCGCAGGAAGAGCAGACAGACCTGTCTTGGAAGAAGTTCGGCCCGGTGCCCCTTGACCCAGGCAGGAGGAGAGCTCCTGAGAACAGGGAGGAGGGGCTGGGGACCTAGAACTTGAGAATCGACCCAGGCAAGGCAGGGGTGGGGCGTGGGGGGGACAATGCCAGAGCAAAGAGGGGGAAAACGAGTTACGAGTTACAAGGGGAAGAAGGGACAGAGAGGTGGCTGGGAATTCAGAGCCCACAGGGGTCCCCCAGCCCTTGGCCAACAGAAGCCCGGCTCCTGCGGTTCCGGTCAGGGGCCACTGGAGGGGGTGAGGCTGTCGGAGGGCCCTGCCCCGCTGTGCAATCACAGCCCCCAACACACGGAGGATCTGCAGTCTGTACTGGGAGAGAATTGTTATTTCTCTCCTGACCTTGCTTTGGAAGGAGCCTTGATGGTGTGGCGGTGGCCCGTTGGGCTGCTGACGGCAAGGTCAGCCGTTTGAAACCACCAGACGCTCCCAGGTTTCTACTCCCACAGATCATTAGTCTTGGAAACTCACGGGGGGCTGTTCTATCGACTGGATGGCAGTGAGTGGGTGAGAACCAGTGACAGTCTCAGAAACCCACAGGGGCAGTTCGACTCTGTCTTAGAGCGTCGCTGTGAATCAGCATCCGACCCCATGCAGTGAGTTTGGCTTGGGTTTTGCCTTTGAAGTCTTGCCCATTGAGACACTCCCGGCCACCTCCCGGAGCTACGGCGCTCCTCAGCCAGCTATTCTCAATGTCACAACCCTCCCGGCAGCAGCCCACACCTTCCGCACGCCAATGGCGACCAAACACCGCCACGCTCTAATCCGTACTACCATGTCAGCCATCAAACACTGTGACTCTCTAGTCTGTACACCAACGTCCGCAAAACACCATCACTGTCTCTGGGCTCCGGGGCCAACAGCTCCCAGCACTGATTTCGGACTTCTGGGCACCCTCTTGGGCCAGCCTCCAGCTGGGACCCCTCCCAAGGCTGGTTAGCTGCCAATAGCCACTGTCCTTGTGATGGAGGGCCGTGGACCCGCCCAGGTGTCAGGTGACAATAGCCACACACGTGCCAGCATCACAAGTCCAGTCACGTGCCCCGGGGTGCCGCCCAGAAGACACGGGGGGCCCTTTCAACTGGGAGGGAGGGGCTGGCCTTCCCTCTGCTTTCCACATCAGGTGACAACGTGATGACATAAGCACCCGGCCCCCAACCAGACAAGAGAGTCCAAGCAGGAAGCCCAGACCCTCTGCCCTCTCCTCTGGCGGTCCCATTCCTCCAGGGAAAATGAAGTTCTGACCTAGGGATTAGAATAAAGCCGGACCCCTGTGCCTTACACACAAGGGTCCCCAAATGATGGCTACCGTCCTGTTACATTACAGTTTCGTCCGGGACCCAGACCAGAAAACAAGCAAACATGCAAAAGCCCACCAGCCCACCAAGCTTCCTCCAAGTGCTGGGACTAAAACCCCTAAGACCCAGAATTCCCTCCGCTCGGTCTACACCATGGGAAAGGGGCGTCGGGCCACACAGACGCATGTGCACCCCTGTGCCCCGCAGCACCCGCCTCAAGAGCACCAAAGGGTGAACGTGCCCTAAATCCCCCTCCACGGGAGACCGGCTCCGCCACAGGGGTGCATCACACAGAGGAGCCCCCGAGCAGCGTTCAGGAGCACCAACGCCCTGGGGGGGGCGGCCCTTGGAGGATGAATTACCAAAGGGGGGCTCGGTGCTGAGTCCGGGTGAAATCAACCTACTGCCGAACGTCAGGGGCTGCCTGGGAGTGCTCTTAGAAAAAGCCGAGCAGGTTTCCACACGGAGAGCAGCGTCCCCTGACTGTCGCCAGGGTGGGTGGGTGCGTCATGGGTGACATGCCGGTGGATGTGGGTGACGGGGAAGGCAATGGAGAAGGAGCGGGTGGCTGGCAAAAAATGGTGGTGGCAGGGAATGACGGCAAGGAGTTGTAAAAGGTACAGAGGCCCGTACTGTTACGTGAGCCCAAGCCCCAGCACCCAAACCCACTGCCAGGGAGTCGTGCCGACCCACAGTCTCCCTGCAGGACAGGGTAGAACAGCCCCTGTGGGTTCTGAGACTCGCTCTGTCGGGGAGCAGAAAGCCTCCTCTTTCTCCCTCGGAGCAGCGGGTGGTTTCAAAGTGCTCACCTGGTGGTTAGCAGCCCAACGAATAACTGTTACACCCCCCATCCGTTCCTTACACCCCAAACCCCCAAATCACACTCTGCCAGGAGTCGATGCAGGCTCAGAGCGACCCTGCAGGACAGGGCTGCGCCTCCCCCCGAGTGTCCGAGACAGTCTCTCTTTAGGGGAGCAGGGGGCCTCACCCGTGATAAGGGCGGCCTGTGAGCAGATGCATGGACAGGCGATGTCTGCTGCCCTCCGGGGGATTCTGGCTGACGGTGGCAGCCAGTGTGTGGCCCAGTCCAGCTGCTGCTGTGTGGGTTTGCCTAGGCTGTACGCACCACGGAAGCAGGTGCCAGCCCTGTTCTTTGGGGTACCGCTGAGTGAAAAACATCAAACTCACTGCCATGGAGTGGATGCGGACTCAGAGGGACCCCACACGACGGGGCTGAACTGCCCCTGTGGGTTCCCAAGGCTGCAACTCTGTAAGTGCTTCATCGTTCTCCTGAGGAGCGGCTGGTAGTTTCGAACTGCTGACCTTGAGGCTAGCAGCCCAACTTGTAACCACAGCACTACCAGGGCCCAGAAAATGTCCCTGGTTGGGAAGAGCAAACCCGGGACAAGGTCGCGTGTCAACAGGGCTACTGAGCGAGTGGGCCCTGGGTGGACCCCCGGGGCAGGGCCTTGTTTGAAGTTTTGTGGGCACGTTTTGCAGTAAGCCCTGCAGTGTGGACGTCAGCCATACTCATTTGAAACTACCTAACAGTGCCACAACGCATCTGCTTCGGGGATTTGGGCACAATGGACCCGGAGCAGGAAGTCTGACTGCAGCCCACGACCCAGCCGGTGACCCGAGGAAAGGGGGGCGGGGATGAAGCCTGAAGCAGGAAGCCCGGCAGGGACTGGAGCCCACTCCTGCTCAGGAAACACCACGGCTGACCTTTGCAGGGTCACCTGGGTGGGTGGGACGCTAGCCCTCCAGGCCGGGACGCCTGAGTCCGAACAGCGGAAGGAGGGTAGGCAGTGACCACGCCGCCCACTGAGAAGGCCAGGCTTCCTGAGGGTGGGGGCAGGTGGGGCAGTGAGGAGAGGACATTCCAGGAAACAGCAGCCAACGGAAGGTCCAGGCCCAGTAAAGAATGAGGGGCCAGGGCCCCGCCACAGAATCCGAGGTGCGGTGGACAGGGAGGAGTGGAGGGCGCCGTGGAGAAGTGTGCCCTGGTCGGGGGGCCGGGCATGACAGGACAGTAAGGTTCAGCTTGGCATCCAGGAGGGAAGATCAGATGGGTCACGCTAGGTGGCTTCCCAGTGTCACACAGGTGAGAGGTGATGGAGGCCTGGCCAAGTGCCAGAAAGTGCGAGGATCAACAGCCAGAGGCCAAGGTCCAGGGGTCAGCAGGCAGGCTGAGGAGAAGTCTAGTTGACAGCATTGCTGGGGTGGGGTCTATGGGCGCAGGATGAGGGGTCTCTAGAGTGACTGGATGGAGGGGGGCAGGCAGAGGAGCTGACTAGGTGCAGCCCACCCAGAGTAAGGATGTCAGGGGCCTTTGGGCCCAAAGGTGGGAGGTGCATGTAGGGAGTCCAACCAGGGATGCCAGAACCTCTCACATGCACAGCCCCCCACCCCTGGAGGTTAAATGGCCAAGCCTCACAGAAGTAGCTTCTGGAACTGTCTCGACTGCCTGACCTCCCGCCCAAGTCCACAATTGTTGGCCATGCATTGCCGGCAACTCCCGGGAACTGGGAGGAGAGGGGTAAGCAGCAGGTTCTCCATGGGGTCCTTCCCGGGGCGCAGCCTGCCACCACCTGGGCTTCTACCTCCCAGCTCGGAGCTCGAGAATAAGGTTCTATGGCTGCAAACCACCCAGTTACACGGATGTCCAGTAAGAGCCAGCCTGCTGCCGTGGCCGATGCTGACTCAGAGAGGTCCTACAGGACACAGCAGAACCGCCCCCCAAGGCTTCCAGGCAGGGTGCCTCATTTTCCTCCCGAGCTCGGCTGGTGGGTTCAAACCGCTGACCTTCCCTTAGCAGCCGCGTGCTTAAGCACCGTGCCACCTGGGATCTTCCCTGGATGCCAGAGATGCCCCAAAGAGGGCAGACAGCTGGACTAGGGCAGCCCGGGCTGGCTTCACCGGCGTGAGACAGGCCATGCGCTCAGAAGGGCGCCGAGCCTGCCGTGGGGCTCAGTGGCTGTTGTCCCGAGAGTCTTCCTAAGTGTTGGACAGGGAGGGGATGCTGCAGGAGCGGAGACCGACGGCCAGCGACACTTAGGCCGTGGTGCAGAAAGACAGGAGCTCCGGGCTCCCCGTGGACAGCGGTGTGGGCGCGGCGGGGGCACACACTCACGTGAGGGCAATGGTGAAGTGGAAGCGCTGCCGCAGGCCGCGGAAGGTGACGAAGGACCGGGGCGGGAAGCTCCGGGTGGTCACCTCACAGAAGGGCTTCTCGTACTCCCCGGGCGGGCACACGCAGTGGAAGCCGCCGATGAGCAGGTTGACGCAGGTGCCCCCGTTCTTGCACACCCCACTGGCGCAGCGGCCGGAGCGCACGTCCACCTCACAGTGCTCCCCTGGAGGAGAGAAGAGGATGCGAGTGGTCAAGGGAAGGCCAGGCCAGTCCCAGGGGGCCCCCCAGAACACCTCAGCTGTAACGTCAGCTGCAGGAAGAAGAGAGGACTCACCCAGGGCCACCACGGGCCAGGTGGCCATTATACGTACATTCTTTTTCCTCATTGGAAGTATTACTCCACAAGCACCCAATGGGGGTGGGGGGTGGGCTAGGTCAGATTCAGTGTTAACCCAACCCCATCCCAAGTCTTCTGGGGTCCCCATCTTCCAGGGACCAGAGGCTGTGTAGTAATGAACACTTCTTAGCACCCATCCCCATTCTGAACACCCCACTGACTTGGCCTCTCCAGGACCAGGATGCTCTCTGACAAGTAAAGCACCTAGCAACAGGCGGGAGGTCAGCAGGCCTCCTTCCCTGCCCTCGGGCCACCACGATCTCTGAAGCATCCCAGCAGTGCCCGAGCCTGGAGCACGTCATGACCAGACAGAGCCTGAAGGCCACCTTGGGGATAGCCTGCTATACACCTCCCCCCCCTTTCCTGGCGCCCTCCTGCCCAGCCCCGCCAACACAGGAATCCACGCACTCTCGACCACGTCTGTCTCTCCGTGTGCCTATGAACTCCTGGAGGGCAGGGACTGCCGTGCTGTGATGCCCCAGTCCAGGGCCTAATGTCTCCTGCTTCCCGGAGAGGCCTGCCGGGAGCCGCGAGCTGACCACCACGTCTCCCCTGGCTTCATCAGAACATCCCAACAAAGAGAGCGTCTTCCCACCACAGCACCTGGGGGAACCCGATCCGTTCTGAGAGGTGCTGGGCAAAACAGTGCTCCGTTCTTGGGATGGGCACCTACCAGCACAGCCTCTTCTTCCTCTGCCACGCAGGGTGGGTGCTGGCCAGAAGTGCTCCACAGACTGTCAGGGCCCTCAAACAACCCTAACTCCCACCCGACCCCCCACCCCCAGGTCCCAGCAAGACACTCCGTCAGCCAACAGTGTTTAAATTAAGTGACTATTTTCAAATGCAACCATATGTTCAGGCGTTAAAACACTGAAACCGCACAGAACGTAGCATGGAGAGTCAGCTTCTTCAGCGCTTTCTTGCGGGCCCTTCCAGAAGTGAAGGAAGGGGCAGTGTGCCGGCACACACGCACCTTGCGTCCCTGGCTGCCAGTGGCCGGCCTGACCCGTCATGTCTTTGGGGGGCATCCTAGGAGCTCAGGGAGGTCTCCCTCTCTCTCTTTAAAATGGGGACACAGCCCTGAGTTTTTGAAAGACATCACAATCGAAGCCCTCTGTTTCTCATCTTTTATTGATGGACATGTGCACTGTCATTGCACATGGCTTTGCAAGCGCATGCACGCCCACCCTCTCACTCACATACACACCCTCACACCCAGCCTCATCCCCACATCCTGACTCCCATGCCTCACCCAAACACTCCTGCTTAGTCACACAGCACCCTCACACCTTTACACAGTTACTCACACACTCACACATTACTCACAAGTACCCCACACGTGCATTCACCCACACTCACACACACAGTTGCACACACACACACACACACACACACACACTCATACACAGTTACCCCACAGCCTCACAGGTGTTTACATACACACACACCCTCAGTGCTGAGGCCCTGGGGCCTGTTCCCCAACTGGCTGGCCTGAGGCTGCCGCCTTAGATCCTGGCCCTGCTTTGGGCACATTTCTGCTTCTTCACGCAGGCAGGTCCCCCACCCCCACCCCTGCTCCCTCAACACTGTGTGTGAGGAGGGGGGTTGCTTTTTTCGGTGGTCAAGGCCCCGGATTCTAACAAAACCCTCTGGAGGGGCCGGTTGGGGTGTGCTCACTGCACCATGGAGACAAACAATGGGAGGCCTCCTCCGCCTGCTGGGGGGGGGGGGCGTCACCATTCCCCCCAGTTCAAGTCCAGGCGCTGGTCCAAGTGCGCCAGCGTCTGCCCTTTCCCTGGGGACCCTCAACACATTCCCTGCTCCATCCCTGGACCACGCACCCAGGCCCTCCCACAGGGCCTCCCTCTCCAGAGCCATGGGAGGCCAGAGGGGCCAACACACAGCACACCCAGAAAGCACATAGATGTCCTTGTCATTGGGGCCATGACCCAGCAGTGGGTACCAGTCAAATGCCAGCCTTGGAACGTGGCGGCCCCTTACCTGGCCAATGCCTACCATCGCCTTGCCGTGCCTGTCCCCCAATTCGGCCACTCGCCCTCAGGGACCCCACTGCCTGGTCCCCTGACAGCAGACTTGGATGGGCCCAGAGTCTTTCCTCCCCAGGGCTCTCCCCCTCCTCTGTTTATGAACGCCCCCCCCACATCCGCCCTGTGAGGGCAGGGGCATGGCAGGGTGGGCTGTGGGGTGCCCAGCACCCAGAGGGGAGGGCCTGGCACCAGCCGGCTCCCAGAAATGCTTGCAGAGTGAAGTCATCCATTTCCCCGGTCGCACCAGTGATTAATGCGCGTCTTTAATCCGTGCAATTTCGGAACCTACATAATTCACATAGTTCATCGAGAAACAGAGGAAATGTGGTGGTGGCGGGGCATTGCTTTTACAGCTAGAAGTGCATTGAAAAGGGGGGTAAGGGCCTCATCTCGGAGTTCCAGAACCTTCCCTCAGGCCAATCCCCGCTCCCCTGGAGGATGTGTATGGGGATTTGCTACCAAGCCCACAGCCAAGGGCACTTTCTGTGGCAGCGACTTCAGTTCACCTGTTTACAGTGACCGGCCTCTCACCATCACCTTTCCTGAAGCCCCCTTAGATGAGGGAAGTGCCGGCCAGCCTTTCAGAACCGTTTCTCCGATACGTTGGTGTCGTCGTTAGGGTTAGGTGCCCGTGAGTCCGTACTGATGCACAGCGCCTGCGTGCACAGCAGGGCGAGGCACTGCTCGGTCCTGCGCCAGCCTCACCTTTGTTCTTATGTCTGCTGCCCCTCGGCTTGACCAAGCACAATGTCCTTCCCCAGGGACTGCTCTCTCCTGGGAACATGTCCAGAGTATCAGAGACGAAGTCTGGCCAGCCTTGCTTCCAAGGTACACTCGGGCCCTACCGGATTGGTAGCACCTGTCAACTTCTGTGGTGTGAGTGTCCCTTTAGTGTTACTGTTGGCACCAGGGAGTCCGTTCCGACTCCTAGTGACCTGATGTCCACCCGAATCAGACAGCACCGTCCTGCACCATCCTCACAATGTTCTGACATCTGAGCCCACGGACGCAGCCACTGTGTCCATCTGTCTTGTCGAAGGTCTTTTTTCAAGACCTCTCTGTTGTGCCAAGCATGGGGTCCTTCTCCAAAGACTGGCCTCTCTTGGCAACATGTCCCTACGAAAGATGACTGTCAAGCCACCTTCGTGCCGCCGCCGCTGCCCGGGAAGTTGAGAGGAGACATGCTGGGGCCATACTGAAGGCGGAAGGCCAGGCCACTGCAGAACGGAGCATGGCCAGGCCCCGCACCAGCCTCACACGGCTCTTCTATCTGAGCCCAGGGTCCCAGCTATGGTGTCCATCCATTTCGAGGAGGGCCCTCCTCATTGTCTGCCCTCTACGGGTTTCTGTGTGTAATATACATTCCAAGCACTTGGTTTTCAGAAAGCTGGGGTTCACAGTGGGACACTCCTCCACCCCCCAAAAGAAGTCCATCTTGAGTCTTGACACCAATTGAGTTCATTGAGCTACGTGGACAGTTTTGCCCTCAGTCTGACTGTCAGGAAGGGGATTATGACCACTCCCCTCCTGGCCAGGGAGGGGCAGCCTCACCCCCAGCAACTTGCCTGGACGTGCCCTTAGCAGAATTGGGGTCCCAGGGCCGTGTGGTCATGAGTCATACCCCAAGGTGGTCTGAGGGTCCCAGAGCCAATCCTGTAAACAAACACTTCTAACTTGTGAGTGTGCAAACAGAAGGCAAGCTTCGGCCGCCCCCCACCTGGGCAGCAGGGAACTGGTCTGCCACCAACGGCGTTTGGCCATGAGGACTCTGGATGCCACACGGCCTCTGTCGTCCGGCTGACTGACCCCTGCTCTGCTCAAGCCTTCCTAAAGTCTTCTCTCTAGGACACATTTGAACTCGGGCTCTTTTCCCCCGTATAACATTTAAAACCGTGGTTTTCACCTTCCTAATGCTGCAACCCTTTAATACAGTTCTTCATGTGGTGGTGACTCCCAACCATAAAAATTATTTTCATTGCTACTTCATCACTGTCATTTTGCTACTGTTGTGAATCGGGCAACCCCCGTGAAAGGGTCGGGCAACCCCCGTGAAAGGGTCGTTCGACCCCCAAAGGGGTCGTGACCCACAGGTTGAGAACCGCGGATTCAGAGGCTCCGGCTCTTAGGCTTGCAGCCAAATGCTTTAGCCACGGAGCCACCAGGACCCCTCAGCCCTTAAAGCAGCTCCCTTGTCTCGGCATAAATGACTCCAGGTGTGTTTACTATTCAAACTTTCACTCCCCCCCACCCCCCTTCCTGGAATTCTTACTCAAAATACATTTGGCGTTCCTGTCTTTCACTTGGAGGCAAATGCTTGCTCGGAGGGGTGGGGAATGTCCTGGGGGCTCACCTCACCTGCCTCACCTGAGAGACGCAGTCCCCGCCCTCCCACGAGGGCTGAATTCCTTACACGCTGGGTAAGCGCAGCCCGAGAAAGGCGTTCTCAACATCCAAATGGCCCTGGCCACAGCAAGGGTCCCTCCCCTGGCTCAGGGCCAGGCACGGTGGGGTGTAGCTGCCCCAATTCGTGGGGTTCCCACACACCACGAGACAGAGGGCTGCACCACCCAGTAAGTGACTGTGGCCCATGGTGACTTGGGATGCAGGTGGCCAGGCCTCTTTTCCTAGTCCATCGCTGTCTGGCCAACGGCTGGGCTCACGGACGCACTGGCCAGGGCACAGGGCTGTGCGCCAAGAGCACTGACCAAGAATTGAACTTCAGCCTCTGGCGTGGGAGGCAAGGGGCACTGACTCTACCACCAAACAGACCCCCAGTGC